GCAGAAGAACGTCGGCCATTACTTTGGAAACAATGTCTGTCAAAAGATTTGCTTTGTAAACATTAGCACACACGTCAGCAGCGTACACCCATGGGCAAACAGTAGACGCTAAATTAACCAATCACAGCGCGGGCTTTGCTTTAGTTATGTTATAATCGCAATTTTTTGACTTGCTACGCATGCGCTGCATTTAACTGGGTTCTTTCGGTAACAAAGAAAAAGCTGAGAATTGCTGGGTTCTTTGCATCGTTACCTTTTCTTACATATCTTTGTAATAAAAGACTAAAGCCATCAATACACTGCGTTCAATTATAGAGAAAAATAGCACAGATAGTGCGGGTGTTGAGTAAATGAAATGATCGCTCTATTGACGGCATGCTTGTTTTTCGCAATCCTTGTGCGCGCGCTGAATTGCATCAGCAAAAGCGCGCGCGAAAACTGTGTTCGACCACCTTGAGGTGATTTCTCGCATTTGCATTGCGCATCCTTACTGCGAATAATTTCTGGCGTCATTAGCGCGCGCTCATGCACCCGCACATTGAAAACATGGCGGATTTGCCTTGATATTGAGTCCTGTCAGTTCAAAAATGGCTATAGCTCACTAACGAGCTCGGGCACCTCAAATTTTTTTCCAGTCATTTTAATCAACTAATCATTAGCTTTGCGTGAGAACAGACTGATCTGATTTCCATTGTTGAAAATTGAATAAATTAGGAAAATAGCAGCTGCAGTGTAGACTTTTCTATTTTGCAGTTTGATAGTCGTGGGAAGCAATTTGGTTCCAATATTTGAACAAGGATTCAGCTGTCCGTCAAAATCAAACTTAAAAAGTTTATTTGTGTCCGACACAACTATTGACTGTAGTTTGAAGCGTGTTTTCATGAGTCTGGGCTCACAGAGAGTTTACAATAACTTGGAATGCGTTCTTGTAAAAAGCATTAAATAATGCTAAAATGGGACCGGCATTTTCAATGCCTCACTGCTCCTTAACGAGCATGGGCAGCCCCCTTTTTTTTATTTTATAATTAAAGTTCTCATATGATAAATATTCATTGGACAAAGTTTGAACAAAAAATCTCTTGGCAGTTTTATTTCAGGGGAATTACCTTAAGAGCGTCACATGTTTTTGTCTCTGTCTAGAGATTTACTTTGTTATGAGTCTTCTTCGTGTTTTAAGAATTCGCTCGTGATTGGATACATCCAAACAATGTACATGCCAGCAGTGTTTTTATTTTTTTTTATTTTTTTTATTTTTTTTTTCAGTCATGCAATCGGTATTAATTGATTTTGCAGGGTCTTATTTCACTTTTTGGACAAGAAACTGAAGGAATCATGGCTGCAATCTGTCCGTTTAACAGTCCTTATTCTACTTACATCGCGTTGTTGCTTGTCGTATTCTTGATGTTTTCATCACAATGTGACTCACGTCTGCTAGAGGACGAGAGTTACAGACCTTTGCGAATGACGCGCTCGTTGTAAATGAAATGAGGGTAAGAAGATATGATCCAGTAAGGGTCCACAGCCGTTAAATAAATTACTTCTGCTGTAATTATAACCAGGATAGAAACTGTAAATTTGCCGTTGGTAACCAGGTACAATTTAACCCCTCGACCATTGAAGGTTGTCGCACATAAATTAAACTTGTAACAACGTTCGTCGTTTGGTCGGATAGACGTTTGTAATCAAGACGAATAAATTTTCTTTCATTTTTAATTAAACTGTAGTTGTCACCTTCGTCTCCTAATCCACATGTCTGATGATCTCGGTCTGATCACTTAAAAGTTCGTCGATTCTCACATGCTACATGTAGTCATTAAAACTTCCGCCAATTTCTCGACTATCATTAAATTTTGGAGAACTGAAATCTCAGCTACCGATTACAAAGCGCAACATTTGTTACAAAAGACTATAAATTTGAAACCCCCTCACAGGAAAAGGCGGTCGAGACAAGTTGTTCATTTCAACACTAGTTCATTTGACACAAGAGTCTGTTGTACACTTTTCATTTCAACTTACAAGTTACGTTAGGTGCAAAGTGCTGGACTTGCAGATTCCAAAAGGATAGTCGCAAGTATAAACATATTTTGCGCGACAAAAGGGCGCAGGACGATTAGCGGTCCTTATTTTTCCTTGGGTGGGGGAACAGTCAGCATAAAACACGGACTGCCGACTGCGGACTTCGAAACTCTACGAGAAAAGAAGAATTAATATGTGAAGCAATCGCGGCCTTTACCTCCAATGGCGGCCATCTTGGGGTGATAGCACATGCGCAGTTTTACCAAATGACATTTATGGCGCAAAAGTCCTATTCCCTTCATCCAAAATCGGCGTTTTGTACCTTTGACCGTGTTTTATACTCAGTTCGCAGTCGGTAGGCCGCATTTAGCCTTGTGTTATATCCAGTCCGTAAAGCTTAGTCCGCGTTTTATACCTCAGTCCGTGTTTTATACCCAGTCCGTTTATACTGACCGGCTAGGGGAACGAGCGAACAGAAGAATCCACAATTTCATCCCCCCGCTGTGTTATTTGGCGATAAATACTTCACGCAACACTGACATAATTAGCAATATACATTTCATTCTACATAATGAAGATGCTCTTTGCTTTATTTTTTTATGAATCCTAAAAAGTGTTACTGAACCTTGCCATAAAGCGAGGAAAAGATATTGCAAAATGATATTTCACGGTAGGAAAAGAAAATACTGCTATTATAAGGCTAAACGGGCCATTTTACCACTGTGTGTGCAGAACTTGGCTTATGAATGCATGCGAGGCAAGATCGAAGTGAACTAGTTAGGATAAGAACAACTTGTTTTACACAACAAAAGCAGTGTGGCCTGTATCAAACCAAGGTCACCTCCCGTCTCGGGGCCAAACAAAGGCGATATGACTGAACACGCAACTGTAAAATGGTCTATTATTCAACTTCGATATGGTAATTCACTCATTGTTTTAGTTAGTAAATGATCCAAACAACAAACGCAACTTACAACACTGTCTCGTCTAATTAAGCAAAGCTGTTTGGCTGACATTAGCTTCTTTTCGAGTCTGAATTTGATGGACCTCATTTCACACAACAAACAGTGTTGAAATAAACAATTTGCCTTAGTCCACAAATTTATACTCTTAGCTAAGAAATGTCGCGCTTTGTAACCGAGAGCCGGTAGCTGAGATTTTAGTTATGGAAAATTTAGTGATAGTGGAGAAATGAACTAAATTTTTAAATAATTGGCGAGAATCCACGAGCATGTAACTGATAACCGTTATATAACTGATCAAGACTGTGGACTGGGAGAGTAAGTTGAAGTACTTGACAGGCTCTTGACAATTGCAGTTTAATTGAAAATGGTAGGTAGGGTAAAGTCTGCATGCGAGCCAAGTGGTCCATCAGGCCGAAGGTTATCCCGATTTCTGTAGCATGAAGCGGCTAGGAGTATTTCTACTCCCCCCTGGATGGGATGCTAGTCCATCGCAGGGTTACCCCCAGCATTAAGTTCGCCGGTACCCATTTATACACCTGGGTGGAGAGAGGCACTGTGAGAGTAAAGTGTCTTGCTCAAGAACACAACACAATGTCCCCGGCCAGGGCTCGAACCCGGACCGCTCGATCCGGAGACAAGCGCACTAACCATGAGGCTACCGCGCCTCCCGGTAGAGGGTTATCAACCAGTTAAAATTAATTGAAAATGAAGGAAAATTTACTCGTCTTGATTACAACCGTCTATCGGATCAAACGTCGAACGCTGAGCCATTCTAAGTGGGATGCACTGAATTACTGGCCCCATTTGTTGGAATAAATTTTTTGAACGCTTTTACAAGTTTACGTGCGACAACCTTCGATGATCGAGCGTCTTAATTGTACAGTTGGTTAGACTAAAGGAACATTTACAGTTTTCAGGTAAAATTCTATCCAAAACAAAGGAACTCGTGCCAGTCCAGCCCGACTCTCCTTTGTTTTAGAAGTCCCACTGTGTAACCAGCATAATTTATTCCGTACCATGTAACCGGATCGTGCAAAGGGCCTATTCATTCAACTGAGGACCCATACTGACTAGATCATTATTTCTCAAGTTACCCGCATTTCGTTTACACCGAGAACGTTGTTCTCAAAAATCTGCAACTCTTGTCCTTAAAGAGTTGGATCTAGAAGACGTGAGTCACACTGTGCTGGAAACATGAAGAATGCGACCAGTAACAACGCGATGTAAGTAGAATGGTGACTGCTAAACTGGTGCATTGCAACCATAATTCCGTCACTTCCTTATCCAAAGTGGAATAGGACACTATAATTATTACCTCCAAAATCAATTGATAATGATTGCATGACGGAAAAAAAAAATTGTTTGCATATAAATTGTTCGGATGTATTCCATCACAAGCGAATTCTTAAAACAGGAAGAAGATTCATAACAAAGTAAATCTCTAGACGGAGACAAAAACATGTCACTCTTTCTAGTTTCACAGTTGGCGAAAGGGCAGACATGGACTAATCCATACAAAGAGATTGACAAGAAATGCGTTTCTGGATACAACATAAACAATATATATAAACAAAAAGGGGTCAATCTACGTCGCGCGGCGCATAAATTTGCAGTTTACTTTCTATTTTATCATATATTTCTTTTTCTTTTCCTTTTTTCTTTATTTTGCATATTAAGTAGGTTATTATTCTATTTTGGTAGTATTCTGATGAAAATGCTATTGTATTAAAACAATTCATGTGACAGTGTGTTGCCAGTGTTTTGGTACGTGAGTAAAATACTTTAAAAAAGGTCCTGTTTTGTTTTCCATTCTCTCTTTTACTTACAAAACTGAAAGAAGCATACGTCAGTTATGGTTTGTTCTGAAGAGTAGTAAACAAATAGTTTCGTGACTAAGGAATACGTTTCATTCATACTTGGCTACAATTTTGTGGTTTTCAAATTGATAATTAATCGCATCGTCAACATACCGCGGCAAGGACGTCAAATTAAGTGTCCCCGGTGACCCACTCTGCGTGTCAATCATTTATCACTGAGTTATTTTATTGAGGTGTGTTGGTAAATACGTCGTTACGCATACGGAAGTAAATTATAAGATGGCTGACTCCAAGCAAAATAACACTTCAGTGTCAACTTTTGCCACTTTCTTATTAGTAGTCTACTTCATGTCTTCATCGCAAGTTGATGCAGATCTTCTTGTTGATCCTACGTTGATTGGGCAAGAGCTGCAGTCTATTGCGACGAACGCACTCGGTGTGGACGAAATGCAGGTAAGCAGAAGGCTTCAACAACAGATTTGTTTTAGTTGGATAGCAACGTTTGCGGTCATACTTCACAACTGGGAAGACTTGCAAAAGCTCAATTTCAAAAGCTCAAATTTGAACATTAGAAACTTTGAATTCAATTTGCGTTGACGCGAGTGAAATCAAATTTAGGATCTTCTGGTAGTGAAAGCTCGCGCTCAAGTTTGATTGACCATTTATGGGCAGTTATAGAATCAGAGTTAGTTTACTAAAGTAAACGTCTGTAATTGATGTTTTAAAGATGCGAATATCCAACCTGATGAAACAGTTGACACACACATTGAATTATTTATAACTGCTCAGCCATTTAAATCATTTGTCTGTTAGACTGGAAGGTTTGCGGTGGACTGCAAGCAGTAAATAACAAGCTCTAGGTAATTTAACGTGTTCTACATTTCGAACACTGCATGCATTTACTGGAGGAAAGTGATAATTCTTCTCTTTCATTTTCGAAGGCTTAACCTCAGAAATATGTTAGCGTTTACGTATAATGAATTCTATGCAAATAATCTCTCTACAAAAAAAACATCAACCTTAATGACATCTTACGGTAAAAGCGCGCGACGTTTCGACCGAACTTCGGTCATTATCAAGCTTGAAAGTAAAGATAAGAATTTTGCATAAGTATGAACATGGACGGTCATACTTATGCGAAATTAAAAATAAAAATTGTAAGCTTTTATGAGTTTGTTTGTCATCATGAAAAGATCAAAACAAGACTTCTTGCATGTGAGGCATTCGATTTGTTTCGGTTTCTAAACATGAGTCTGCACAGTTGTAGAGATATTGCGTTACGTTATACTGCACGTGCCCTAGCCCGTGTTATTTTGATCACCAATTTGATTTCAGCCAATCAGATGCTTTGTATGATTATTTAATTTTGTAACAATTTAAGCACAAGGACCGCCTGTATTTTGGGGGCCTGCATTGTGTGCAACACTGGGCGAATAAATCACTTAAAGCTCTTTCTTTGTTGTACGTTATTACACATCGATTTCGCTACAACATTGCGAGCAACTGACGGCGGTTGAAAGACGTTGGGTAGTAAAAGTAATATAATTCAACATTGAAGTGAACGAATAAATATCTACAGAAGCAACAAATTTGCAAATGTAACTAGATAGGATAGGTCAATACACAGGGGCATCCAACGATCTGTTCCATAAAACTATGTTCCTCATAAATCCTGCAGGTTCATCTAGAACATTTTATTTTATTTATTTTGTTTAGAAACATTTTGAAAGCCTTCAATACCATGACCAACTCATATCAGGAGATGACATCATTAACTTGGCCGGAAAGCTTCGTAACAGGTTTACGAGAAGGTTTGATATTGCAAAACGCCTTCAGAAGGCAGTTGAGGACTCGTACTCCAGGACTATGAGTACCGCGCCACAAAAAGAATGCTGCCTAGTCAATAAATCGACGCTGACGTACGATGCACGGTTTCGTTCCAAAGTCGACCTAGACACTATCTGCCTGAAAATTTCTGGTCATGCTCCTGAAAATCCTGGATATTTAGACCACAGATTTTTCGAGGAAACGAAAGCCATTTCGGAGGAACATACTTATGTCAAGTGGCAGTACTTCGGATCAGAGGAAGGTGTTATGACCAACTTTCCAACATATGATGATTCTGAACCATGTGACAGATACGATCCTCGTTACAGACCTTTTTATGTGGAAACTGCTACTCCTGAAGCGAAAGATGTGGTGCTTGTTATGGATACAAGCTGGTCTATGACTGGAGACAAATTAAGGGTCGCTAAAGAGGCTGCAATAACAGTTTTAGATACCATGAATCCAAAAGATCAGGTAAGTAATATTCAGTTATGTTTGAAAAGAGGGCAAGTCAGCTTTGTCGTTTTAGACAAAGACGTTCCCAAATTATTGAATGAGGGCCAAAACTTCCGGGTGCAGGTCGAATAACATTAATATTTTGCACCTTTTGTTTGGCAAGGAATGCAGTGCAGATTGCACGTGTATTTCCTACCAGTAATATGGCCACATTAATGATTGAAAATGTAAATGTAAATGCAAATTTAATGTCAAACACAGGAAGTGCTTGCGCGATCACCCGAGCCAGAGGCTCATGATAACTAGTGCTTGACAATAATCCAGATCGAATTGGAATTTGGAAATGTTTTTGAGGAGAGGGGAAAACCGGAGAACCCGGAGAAAAACCTCTCGGAGTAAAGAATTGAGAACCAACAAGAAGCTCAACCCACATATGACGCTGGGTCCGGAAATCGAACCCGGGACACATTGGAGGAAGGCGAGCGCTCTCACCACTGCACCAACCCTGCTTATCACACATCACGAGAATACCCCTGCTGAACGACCTTCTGAAAGGTCGTCCCCCCACAAGTGACTACAAATGATGATTTCTACAACTATTTCCATTCATCTATTCACTGGCTTACGTTAAGACTGAGGTTAATTTTCCTTGCTCCAGGTTACTTGATTTTCGTCGTTCTAAACTGATCTAACCACGTGGGCCACGGAGTGTCATGTGACTCTTTTGACCCAATGATTTTCAATTTTAAGGTTGGCATTGTTTCATTTGTGGGTGACGTCAAGACGCCACAAGATGTTGACTGCTACAGTGAGCAGTTAGCTCTTGCAATTCCTGCAAATATAAGACATTTGAAGGACTTCGTCGATAAACAACACGCTTCTAATGGTAAGTAAATGGCAACGTACCTGACTGGATAAAGGAGTCGACTTTCCCACGCTGCAAAAAACGAATGATCCATCTGATATTCGTATAGTGCGTAGTTACACCACCTATGTAGTTGATCTGTAAGGTTGTCACGACACCTTTCAGTTTTTTGAAACATGATTTAAAAATTTAACTTCACATACTCGCCGCGGCAGTTGATTTAACTGTAAACTGCAAATTCAAGATTGATAAATAGCCAAGCCGTCAAAAGAATCTATCTTCTGTCCCCAGTTTAACCGGCTATTGTCCTATCTGCAAGCAATGACCGAATGGTTTCTCCAAGAGAGGTCGTTGATGCTCTTATTTCTTGCTTTACAGGTCAAACAAGATTCATACCGGCTTTTGAGAAGGCGTTCCAGTTACTGAAAGGCTCGGTCTCTAAAAACGCAGGGAAAAGCAAAAAACGAGTTATTTTATTTCTGACGGACGGGGATCCCTCGGATTCCAAGGCGGACTTGTTCAGGATCATTAGGGACCGGAACTTGGAGCTCAATAACTCTGTCATCATTCTAACGTACGGATTTGACAGGGCATACCAGGAAATTCTGATAGATATCGCCAACCAAAACACGATAAAGTATGGCGTACCAGCAAATACGTCCGTCGGAGACATCGCGGTAATGTAGCAAATGTAACGCATTGTTGATGCGCCATTTCCACTCATAGGCTTATTCAGCAGACCAACAGGGGATTGGGGCAGAAAATCCTCAGGCTGACCTTTAGAACTTTTTTAGTATTTAGGGATAAAAAGCCGCCCAGATTTGCGAATTTGGTTGAAATTCAATTGAGAACAATTTGGTTTGACATGTCATTGTAATCAAATGCGATATTTTTAGGGAGAATTTAACGTTCCCGTGGCGACGGTATTTTGAGCGACATTTGACAGATATGAAAATTTTTGTGTTTTCTTTATCAAAATCTGACTTGCATGCAGGACTTTGAGGTAGTTTCGATTTTCTTAATTTTGAGTCATTTTAATTGTTTGTCGAGTGCTGCTCTACAGTGATCGATATATGTTTTTGAGATTTCCAAAATCATGCTAAAAATGGTGACAATGTCCCTTTAAGTACTTGAGGTGGGTGCTTTTCGGTTTCATAACTTTAGTATGGCATTTGAAGACAACATTTTCAAACTAATTAATAATTTGATCAAGTCTAAACAAAGGAAATCATGACCGTGACAGTGTTTGGATATCTTATTCCGTTTTTCTTCTTACTTTAGGTTTTGATTGAGAACATTTATCAAACACTCAAGACAGTGTTTGACCACATTTCCAAGCACCTCAAAGTTCGTCAAAGATACTCCGCTACGCGTCGTATATTCAACTCTCTTCTCGGTGTTTGAAAATGTGGTCAAACACGGTCTTCCGTGTTTGAGATATTACTTCTCTCTGTTACTTATCCTTGAGGTTATATAATTGGACGTACCTCCAGACTCCAATACCTATATACCATACTTTAGACATTCTTGAAATTACGTAGGATCGTTCTCTCGATCATCCTTGTCTTAGAATCTGAATAGGGCAAGATAATGTTCCTCTTTGAGCTGTGACTCTCTCTATCTCTAGCGTGGAAGCTACACTTTTGTTGAAGATATCAGGACGCTGAGAAGCAAAATGGCAACGTATTATGCTCTATTTGCGAAGCAGCTTAGTCGTCCAGTGGTTTCTGTACCATATGTTGACGCGTTTGGGACCGGTAAGAGAAATATAATAACAATGACAATGGCAATGACAATGACAATGATAATCATTTTAAATTGAAATTTTAATATTCCAACACGTTTAATGTACAGAATAAAGTTACAGAAGCTAACTCGTTAAAAAGAATGTCAAAAATTTAAATAATAAAAGTAACAATTTGTAACATCGAATATCTTGGTTTTCACATTAAGTTTGTTTTGAAATTATTGTCCATGTCTTAAAAGTGAGAGCTGAATAGAAGTTGGCGAGCTCGCTAATCTTTCTTTTTTTCTTACTCCATTTTCAGGGCTTTTAGTGTCTGTAACCCTGCCTTGCTACCATCAAGGAAGGTTTATTGGCGTGACTGGGACAGATATCAATATTGAAGACCTTATGCCTGACATTCTTGAGTACGTTAAACAAGGCAGGACCACCTATGCTTTTATGATCATGACATCTGGAAGGACCGTAATCCATCCACTTCTACCAGCTCCAGCTGACGCCTACGGTTACCCTATTTATATGGACATAAGGAACCTGGAACGGCCGGAGTCCGAGTTCAAGGCCATTTTTGACTCGATGGCAAGGTATGTGCATCGACGTGAATCCATGAAATAAGATTGGGATCTTCTATATTAAAGGGAAGTGCGATGGCATAATGGTTGGTGCGCTGACCCTCGGATCGCCCGTTTTAGCTAGGGCGGTTTGTTTTTCCATTACAGACCTGGTGAAATCATCCAGAGACTTATTATTTTGTCCATCTAAAAATTACTCATTCATATTCAAGCCATTAATTGAAAATTTAAAAGCAAGAATTCTCGGGAGTGTTATATCATGGTGTGAAATGGGGCAGCAGACTGCCCAAGCTAAAAAGGTATATTGCGCTCTCAGCTAAGACTTTTTACTCTTGGATTTTTTGCTTTTGTATGCCTCCGTGATGTTACTGAGGACACGGAGATAAACTCGGCCTGATGTATGGTCGTTACCTCGCTTAACCTGATATATAGAGACCTGACGTTGATTTAAATCAGGTGTTTCTTTGAAAAAATACATAGACACTTAAATAAAGTTTTCATTCATTCATTCATTCATTCATTCACTCATTCTTTCATTCATTCATTCATTCATTCTTTCATTCTTTCATTCTTTCATTCTTTCATTCTTTCATTCTTTCATTCTTTCATTCTTTCATTCTTTCATTCTTTCATTCTTTCATTCTTTCATTCATTCATTCATTCATTCATTCATCCCAAATCGAAAAGCCATGCCGATTACTTAACTTTAAAGAAGCTCTCCTAGTGCCGAAAGTTCTTTTTGCCTGGGGTGGAAAATTCAAGACATACTGGACGTATCCGTGCAAGCAGGCTCTGGGAAGCTGAGCGCCTGAGGCAAGAACACTGTCTGGCTAGGTTATATATACAACAACAACAACAATAATTTTTATTTTCCTTCATTTTAAAATTACATGTTAGTTGGCCCGCGGATAGCAAGTGCTAATCTAGGCGGGCCATTAATCGCTTGAACTAGATTAATTAAACAACACTGATATTAATTAAATAGCAATACATATCTGGAGAAGTTTCAAATTCGTCGGGTGATCAATTTAAATCAATTCTTCTCTTTGATTGCTCAAGAGGTGTGAGTGGATCCAAATCATTCTACGCCGCCCGGTATCTACCTAAAGGGGGAAACATAACGGAAGGAGTCACAGAGACGTATATTAACTCAACGTATCATTGGCGTCCTCTAAATGGCACGGATTTTTATCTTGGAGTAGTCATACCAATCTCCATGAAGAACGAAATGTTAGACACTTTAAAAATCCCAGTTGGTAGGTAAATTAGGTTTGTTCCCTTCTCTGTCTGATTGACTGACTGATTGGATGATTAATTGTTGATTGAGTGAATGGTTAATTGAGCGATGCATTGTCTGACTGACTGATGACTGACTGACTGACTGACTGACTGACTGACTGACTGACTTACTGACTTACTGACTTACTGACTTACTGACTTACTTACTGACTTACTGACTTACTGACTTACTGACTGGATGATTGGTTGTTTGGTTGGGCGGGTGATTCTTTGTTTGTTTGATTGACTGATCGATTGACTGATCGATTGAATAATTCATTCATTCATTCATTTATTCATTAATTTATCCATTCATTTGAGTATGTAGAGCATGTTTGTTAGAACCTCCTTAAAATAGAAAAGTTGTGCTTTACTTGATAGAAGCATAAAACATGAGACCATACTGTTGACAACAATCTTTTATACCTTTCCTCAGATTACACCTTTAACTATCATCGAATAGACCTGGCGCCAACTCAGAAGACGTGTTTAAACTTTGGACGACTAGCAACAAAGGGTAAGAACAAAATTAAACCATATATGAAGACATTTTGTCAAGAAACCACTAATTCGTGTGAACGCATGAAATTCAAACCCATTTCGGTCAGTTACTGTTGGATATTTCGAACTCCATGCAACTTTGAACTATTTCCCTGTTGCGCTTTAAGTTCGAGGTGGCGAGATTTAACTGTACCGTCGAACCTCTGTTAAGCGGCGCCCTATTAAGCGGCCAACTTTTATTCGGCGGCCAGTGGCCAAAGTCCCGGAAAAATTGTCAGCCACATACTGTAGTAAAAAACCTCTTTACAACGGCCACCTCTATTAAGCGGCCGCGGCCAGCTTCTTGCCGTTCCAAGGGTGATTTTGTTTTGTTTTATACCTCTACTAAACGGCGAGGAAGATCAGATTTGAAGTGGGACGGTTTTAGCCAGATGAAGGTAAAAGAATGGCAATGTGGAATACTGTAAAAACACATTTTGAACAGTGTTAAATTATGACAATCACAGAACAAAGTCCGCAACGGTTTAGTTTGTTTGCACAGCACACGAGCCAGTGTTGGGTTGACAGAAAACGTCGCGTAATTGTTTCTTTGGCTTTTGTTAACGTTATGAACTGCATTATAGCTATCATTGTTCCACTTTTTTCTCCACTTGCATTTGTTTGTACTTATATTTAATAAACTGAAAACTGGACTGCGCTCAACGTTGCTTTCGGGAGAACCTCTATTAAAGGGCCACCTCTTTTAAGCGGTCAGTGGTCTCGTCCCTGAGAGTGGCCGCTAAATAGAGGTTCGACTGTACTTCGAAAGTAATCGACTTTAACTTCCGAGAAGCCACAACTTCGTCGTGCCCATTCCTATTCCATTCAATTCAAGTTTCTCCACATAGATACCACCGTTGTAAAATTTGCACCAGACGCCTTCCTGGATCCTTACGAATATTTTGGCACCGATGAAACGGAAGCGAGTGTAAAGTTACTAACCTACTACATGATGGGTCTAGCGGGTAGTGAAGCATATTCCAAGCTAAGAGACGGCATTCGGGACACCGTGATTGCTACCTGGAGAGCAGAAGATTTGTGGTTAAATGCCAAGACAGAGCTGACACAATACTTGATCAAAAGATACATTGGTACAGCAGATGGAGTTTTTAGGGAAACTCCAGGTGATGTGTTGTCCAGAGGTTATGATCCCCGAAGACGACCCTGGTACGTGATGTAACATTAAAATATATATATTTTAATATATATATATGGATTTCTGAAAACCGTGACAGTTTCCAGGAAATACACAAGTTCCTTCAGTCAATCAATCGCAGCCAGTCTCTCACTACGCAGGCTACTCGCCCACCTTGCTTGTGTGAAGCTGGCTGGCTGCCGGTCATTAAGTCTGCGCAGCACAGTCGGCGAAAGTTAGCCAGCAAAGGGTATGACCAGTTTTCAGCTAAAAGTGCCGCTCCCTGATTATGGCCATTGCGGCCTGGCTCGGTACCGGCTGGTAGCCAGCACCCTGCTGGGCTGTCTGTCAGAACCGTTCTTGACAGAAGCCTCCTTGGTTTTAAAGTGCCCGCAACGACCTGACTGCCGACCATCGTCGATAGTCAAGCAAAAACGTTTTGCACCAGTTTTGACATCTTTTTTCATGAATCCAGACATACATACAATAACGAGAATATAGCATGCATGGCGCGCACAGGATAGTCGCAGTACCACCTATCACATTAGGTCGTTCAGTTCCTCCTCTGGTTTTCCTCTCTCGGGCTTAATTCCTTTTAAAACTGGCAAGCTCAATCTTTTATCTCCGCTTTAAAAATCTAGATGAGTAATTTCTCTGAGATCGATTTTGCAATAAAAACTAACGATAAATAATCACGACATTTCGATCTCTCCGAGTTCATTTTCAAGTGCGAGAAAAAATTCACAAAATTAGCATAATATGTTTCTAAAAGTAAAAATACTTTAAAATGTCATGAACGATAGAATGCAATAAAATATGTAAGACAAGTGACCTAAAACAATGAGACAATAGAACAATAGTAATAAGAGTAAAGAAATGATCTAAACAAATTATTTAGCACCAATTGAAACACAACTTTTGTTCAATGTAGGAAAATAGCCAGGACAGTCATTTGTTCCGACACTTCTGTAAACTTTTAAAACTTTGCGCATTGTCATCCGGCTTCTTAACAGTTGTCCAACTGCCGATCCTTCATGTTCTTCAATTCGTTGGTGTAGGTAAGATAAGCTAAGAACTTTAGGCGACATAACCTGCATCGCACAAGTCACACTTGAAACATTGCACCACGCATTCTCTAACGGTGGTTTGTCTTCCCTCACTTTGATTTTGTCCTTGATCTTTCGACTTGTGTAGACCGTGCTAGTATCTGCGTTGATCTTTCGACTGAGGTCTACGTACTGCGTTTGCAGATTTCTGGTCTTTAAAAGGCAGCACGATTCTAATCGGAGCTTCTCTCTTCTCCGATACTTGGGTAAGTGAATCTTCAGACACTTTTGAATCAATGAATTGGCGGATGGTATACTGCAAAATATTTTCAGGGTAGCACAGTCGAGCAAATTTGACTGTCTTATTTTCAAAATTTTGTTTCTTTAAGAACTAAAACCAACACTGAACAAAAAAATGCGTTTAAATTCGCCCTAAACAATTTGTTTAGATCAGTTCTTTAAGCTTATTAATATCAGTATTGTCTTATGTTAATTTTATATATTTTTACTCGCACTTGTAAATGACGTCGGAAAGGTCGAAACGTTGTGACTTTTTATTGTTAGTTTTTTTTTAAAAAATTAAAAGATCTGTTTATCCATCCTCAAAGATGTGTTGTTGTTGTTGTTGTTGTTGTCGTCGTCGTTGTTGTTGTTGTAAGTATACCTCAGACGTCGATCACTGATTATTCAAGGTATTACGCTGCATTACGTCATTCGGGATTTCTTACTCTTACAACACCATATTTGGACGCTACTGGAGCTGGAGTGGTGATAACCGCAGCCCGCGCTTTGTATCGCGGAGAGTCAAGTCGCATTCATCAAACAAGTGATGAGGTGTTGGGGGTCATGGGAGCCGATTTTCCGCTGACCTATTTTTACAGGTATGGTATTGAAATATACTTGTTGATTGATCCTCAACAGGTAAATATTCCAGGGAGGGCCGCGAATTCAGTTAACTCCGTTTGAGGGCACCTGAGTGCTGTTAAAATTTTAATTAGATTTTCTGCAACATACCATTCCCTGATGCTCGTTGATAATGCCACCCACCCTTGTCAAAAAACACGGGAGTATTTTGAAAGATGTTTCTTTCTTGATGTACGCAACAACTTCAGACACTGCACTAACTTAGACACAGAGCAGCATTCTGCCCATGCTGTACCGTGTCTGCTTCCCTTCACAATGAGCTAGGAAAACTGTAAGTTTACTGAAATTAAAAGTAAAAAAGGATGTATAGAGAAAAAGCACTCAACAATTTTATTTTACATATTATTATTATTATTATTATTATTATTATTATTATTATTATTATTATTATTATTACTTTTATTATTATTTAAATTATTATTATTATCTCGAAAAAGGCACTTAAGATACTTCCCACATTTGCATTACTAGCGTTTGTAACAGAATCCTATTTGTTGTCGGTTAAGAGGAAACCTAGAAGTCTTACATCTGTATCACCGCTAATACAATAATAATACAATTTAACGCTAAATGTAATGAGCTGACCAACCGTAAATGTAATACAAGTTAACCTCAAATGTAATAACATAGTTTTAAAAGCTCCCTTACGGTTACGGGGCATCACTTGAAGTCTCGGGGATTTTTTGCGTGCACTCAGTTGTGGGATCGTTTGGGGGAGCACGAGGTTGAAAACAAAGGTGCGAGCGCCCCCAAACGATCCCATAATTGATCCCTCACCTATACTCACCCCAGGTTTACACTCTTTTTGAAAGTGGGCTATTATTAGAAGTCCTTCTGGTTGTGTTCAAAAGATTTTGATGAGACGGTAGTATGATAAAACAGATAAAAATATACTGATGGTACAGTTGATATAATGACAACTTTAATAGCAACGATACTCATTCAAATATAATCACAACTTATTTGTAAATTAAATAAACATATTAGAAAAACGTATTCATACCCGTATAGGTATTGTATGGGAGTAACCCCCCGGGGGCAATCTGCCTAACGGTTTAGTTAGTAAAGGTGATTAACCGTGATTGGGTAATCTGATAATCTATTGAAGTGATATCATATCACTGATGATATTGATGCCA